CCACCGCCCCGCGCCGCGCGCTTCCGGGACCGTCCGGGGAAACCGAGCCCGCAGCGTGCAGGTTCCGGAAACCGCGCCGACGCAGCGCGGGGGGCGCGGCTCCATCCTGCGTCCCTCCGGGGGCGCGGGCCAAGGGTTCGGTCTGCAGAGCGGCCTCGGAAACGTCCCTCGCGCCCTTCCGGTCCTTCCTCCGCTTCGTGGTACAGACTACCTTTGAAATCCTGCCTTCTCCCTTTTTTGCCTCACTCCCACGCTCTCTACATAGTGAAATCTGATTGAAGGGAGCTGGAAAAGCGTCAACAAACAAGGGGTGCCTTGCCAAGGCCAGTGAAGCGGTGCCTCTGGAGATTGTGTGGCAGAGGGGCCCCTGGGCCCTTCCAGGAGACCCGCAGGAAGGGTGGGGTGCGAGCGGGGTGCCCCAGTGTGGCTGTGTCAGGCCTGGTTCTTCTTTCTCTGCCTCCCCGATGGAAACTGGGACTCCAGCAGCCTACTGGTCAGTGTGTGTGTGTGTGTGTGTGTGTGTGTGTTGGCGGGGGGGGGCGGGTAATCTTCAAACAGCCGCGTTTTGTAATCTTCACAGCAAGAGGATGACGAGAAATATGGGGGGATATTCTCACCACCAGCATTTCGAGCAGGCAGGATCTTTAAACGTGAGGGGTCCTTGCAGCTTTGCTCTTTGTAGGTCCCAGGCTTGTCCTCACAATCCAGCGGGCCTACACAGCCCTCCATCTGATGGGTCACAGGGCTTCAATCCTCTTTGGCCCCTTAAACCTGAAATGGAATCATTTCCATCTTACTAAATGGAACACTTTCCGCTCATGTGCCTTGGAGCACCATTTTTAACATTTGCGTCCATCTGTGCTGTCCAACTTCATTGGCTGCTAGCAATTCTTTCTAGGTTCTTCCTGTGTCAATGAAGAATTGGAAAAAGCAAAAACAAAGGGTAGGAAAAGAAACATGCTCTGCAGACCTAGTAAGGGCCAATTAAAAGTAAGAAAAAAGCATACTCTATAGCAAGTGATGGCAGACCTTTTAGAGACAAGTGCCCAAACTGCAACCCAAACCCACTTATTTGTTGCGAAGTGCCAACACTACAATTAAACCTTAATACTGAAGTTTTTAGTTTAGAAAAAAGCAACTCATACATTAACACCTTTTGTCTTAAAAGAAAACACATGTGCCAAAGGGTTGCCACTGCTGCTCTATAGGGTGAAAGAGAGTGCACAATGATCATAAGGATAAGCATGGCCATCTTTTATATTTCCCACATCTCAGGCTGACCTATGCCATCCTATCAAAAATCTGCTGGAGTTCCTGTGACAATAGTTAAAGATAGCATTCTCTGGTTCCACACACAAGGCTTTTTGAACTGTCCTTCTGCATATTTCCACTTGCTCAACCATTTGCCACATCCTAATCTCTTCCCTCACAACTAATTTCCAATTTCTCTCGCGTCTACCTCTTAAATATAGCAAATATGACAGCTCTACATCTTCACTGTCAACACCCAACTCAGCCTCCTATCCTGTTTCCTAAACACATGCAGCACTCACCAAACTACCCCTCACCCCACACACACGCACAGCTGCCAATGAACGCTTGAGAAGTTCCCTACCTAATGGTGTCCTCCCTGGCTATCAAATTGCCATTTTCTACTCCAGCATGATTGCATCAGCAAGGGTGGTGCCTCTCCCCTACTTCAGCCAATTCAGCTGATACTGTTGCATTTTTAAAGAATGGAGAGGGCACCTTGGAGTGGAAAGGAGGAATCCAGGCTATTTGCATAACCAACACTCACAGTAAGCCTTCCAGAAGATTCTCGAGTTTCAGTTCTGTCCCTCTGTTATGGCTTGTATATAGATGTCACTGCAAAGCCTCATGTGCTCATTGGTGGGGCTTTGAGGAGGTGATTGAATCATGGACGTGTGATACTCATCACTGGATTAGTCCTCTGGTGGATTTATAACTTGGTGTAATGTTGGTGGGAAGACTGACATAAAGTTCGGAAAGCGGAAAGGGAGGTGAGGCCTGGTGGGAAGAGGTGAAACACTGTGAAAGTGGCCTAAGGTATATGTATCCCTCCTCATCCCTTGATCCCTCTCTGCTTCCTTCCACCATGCCATAAGCTGCTTCTCTGCCAGGTCCTTCTGCCGTGCTGCTCGGCCTTGGAACCAGCCACATATGAACTGAAACCTTGGAAACTGTGAGCCAAATAAACCTCTCCTCCTTTAACTTGTGGGGTCAGATATTTTGTCCCAGCAATGAGAAAGTAACTAAGACACCTTCACTGACACAGGTTTGTAGCAGTTATATAAACAACACTCCCCATCTACTTTTTGGGTTTTAGTCTAGGAGGGCTCCATCCTGTATACTGGTCCTCTGTGCTTCAGTACAGGCCCTGTTTAAAAAAGAAAAAAGACTCACTTTGTTGTCCCTATTTTTTTTAAAAAAATCTCCAATTTCTGACCCCAAACTGAGCCTCTTTCACTCAGTCTCTCTCTGTGTCTCTCTGTCTCTGCCTATCTCTCTCTCTTTCTCTCTCTCTGAATCGTGGAACCAATAGCAACATCCAGCACTGACTAAATAATGAAGGAGAATTCAACAACTCATTGGGAGGAAGGAGGTTATTGATGTAGGTAAAAACAGGAAGGGACAGAGATAGGATAATAAAGGGAGAAATAGTTATGTCTTTCATGGGAATTCAGGTGCTACCCCTTCGTGCTCCTTATGGTTCTTTCCAGTCACTGTCATGGCAATTATTCATTGTCCTGGCCCTGGGGACTATGTCATTTGGCATGCAAATAATCTAATGAACTTAGAGGTTGTTATATCTTGTGTTTAGATGTCCCCCAAAGCCTCATGTGGTCATAGGTGGGGCTTTTTCAGAGGTGGCTGGATCTAGACTATGTGACACTGAAACTGATTCATTGTGCAATGCTATACTCAAGGGTCTAAGGATTAAGGGTATGAGTGCTACCCAACCTAAGTAGCCTGGGTAAAATAGAAGGGGCAGAAAGATGCTGTTAAAGTTGCTTGTTGCTTTTTTTTTTTTTTCATTTTAAAGAGAAAAAATCACAATAAAACATATTTTCAAACCAGGTTAGTAGGAGAGTTACAATAATTAATACATTTCATATTGTCTTCCTAGTGGTTATTCAGAGTACAAGATATAGGCATATCTTGTCCAAACAATATTAGCACAAAGCTTTTTTTCAATGAACTAAGAGAAACTAGCTCTATAATTATCTTAACTATCTTGTGTATAAATATATATTTTTCATTTTCCTTTCCTTCCTGTCTCCTTTCCCCATCACAGTTTGTCTTTGCTTTTGAAGAGTTTCTTCCCAATTCACTCTCTCTATTGTATATTTTGGACCTTATTTACTTGTTCAGTTTCTCACACTAGTGAGAAACTAGATTTTTTTACGCACATGGGTCTGATTTATTTCACTTATGAATATGGTGTTGAGTTGCATCACATTTACCTATAAAAGTCTCAAGTTTATTCTTCTTTAAGGCTGAGTAGTACTCCATTATATTAAAAAAAATCACATCTTTTTTGTCCATTCCTCAGTTGGTTTGTTAGCAAGATTTAGCTATTACAAATTGTGCTGCTATAAACATGGGTGTGCATATATCACTGTGGTGTGATGTTTTTAATTCTTCTGGGAAGATACCCAGAAGAGGAATAACTGGGTCAAATGGGACCTTTAATCCTAGTTTGTTTTTGTTTATTTATTTGTTTATTTATTTATTTTTGAGACAGGGTCTGGCTATGCAGTTCAGGCCTTGAGCTCACTTTGTAGCCCAGGTTGGCCTTGACCTTGCAATGATCTTCCTGCCTCAGCCTCCTGAGTGCTGGGATTACAGGCCTGCACCACTATGCCTGCGTAAACCTGGTTTTTAAAGGAATCATCACACTGATTTCCACAGTGGTTGCACCAGTATACACTCCCACCAACAGTGGAAAAAAGTTTCTTTTTCCTCACAGCCACACCAGCATTTGTTATTGGTTGATTTTTTTGATGATAGCCATTCTGTCTGGGGTGAGATGGAATCTCAGTGTTGTTTTAATTTTCATCATATCAATGACCAATGATGTTGAACATTTTTTCATGTATTTATTTACCATTTGTATTTCTTCACCTGAGAAGTGTGTATTCATCTCAGATGACCATTTCTGGATTGAGCTTTTAAATTTGGGCGGTCTGATTTTTTTTAATTTTTTATATGTTCTCAATAGTCATCCTTTGTCTGAGGGACAACTGGTTATAATTTTTTCCCAATTCATGTGTTGTCTTTTCACTCTGTTGGTTATTTCTTTTGTTGTTCAAAAGCTTTTTAATAAGGTCATATCCCATTTATTAATTTTTTGTAGTATTTCCCTTGAAGTCTGAGTTTTGTTCATGAAGTCTTTGCCTACACCTATGTCTTTGAGATTTTACCTGTTTTCTCTTCCAGTAAATTTAGTGTTTTTTTTTTTTAAATATTTAGGTATTAGATCCTTCAGAACATTGTGGAGTGCTGGTTTGGTGGTTATGAATTTCCTCAGGTGTTCTTTGTCGTTGAAGTATCTTATTTCTCTATCAATTCTGAAAGATAGTTTTGTGGGGTATGTCAGTCTGAGTTGGAGATTGTTTTCTTTTAGGGCTTGAAATACTTCACTCCAACCTCTCCTTGAGTTGAGGATTTGTGTTGAGAAGTCTGCTGTGATTCTGATGGGCCTTCCTTATTAAGTGATATGTTTCTTCTCCCCTAACATCTTTTAATAGAGAAGAGCCATGACTTACAAACTCAATTTGTTCCTGAGGATTGTAATTCAAATTATCAATTGAAGGCTCAGGCCTTCAAAGTCTCTCTCCTGTATACAAGCAGATCTCAGTGTCCTTAGACATTGGCCCAGGATTCCCCAATATATCCCATACAGGAAAGGATGTTGTAATGTTCCTTCTAAAACTCTTTAAGGGTTAAATCTGTGTCTGAGACCATCTGGAAGCACAAGTAGCCAGCATTTGGGTCATAACTGAAGACTTTGTACATTAAAACTGAAATTCTGGTCATACTCCAAGTTGTTCATATAACAGGCCAGTTGTAACTTGAAGGTCAACTGTATTGTGTTCTTGTGTTCAAGTCTGCAATCTTGACTATTATATTCCTTGATGTAGATTTTTTTTTTATCACGGCTAATTGAAGTCCTATATGCCTCAGTTACTGTATGTCAAATTCTTTTTGCCTGTTTGGGAAATTTTTTGCCATGGCTTCTATGAACAGGTATCTTATATCATTTGTACTATTTCATGCTTTTTCAGACTCCAATCAATCTTATGTTGTTCTTTGCATCATCTAGCAGTGTTGGATTGATTTTTCATTGTTCCCTGCTATTTTTAAGAAACCTTTCTCTTCATGATCACTAACTGCAATCCTGTCTTCTACATCTGATATTCTGTCCTCACATTGGCTCATTCTGCTGCATATACTTTCAGTGGAATTTTT